CTATCAATTGCCTCATACCTCAACCTCTGACAACGCTCCTCTAAATTCTGGACCTTAACCTGATGAACACTGGAAACCAAACCAATCGGTTAACCCAAACCATACAAGCCCAAACTGGTTAACCAAACCAATTGGAGTTTCCCCTAAACCGGATTAGGGTCCCTGAAAACAGAAACAACCACCCAACTTCAAAAGCACACTCAGAATGGAGCGTACCTCAGAATCATGATCGGAAATATGATCTGGAATTGTGAGACCAAGACCTTTCCAACGCTATATAGATCGCCTTCTAATTCCTTCTGGTTCGACAAGAAAACTCTCATGAAATGGACTGATCGCAATCCAATTCTACATGAATCTCTCTCGGAAAAATAACCATAACTCTCAGAATACTAACCCAATTGACAAACCAATTTCTCCCAAAGCTAGATACAAGAGTGAAAAACTTACCCTAGAAGTTTCACTCTAATCCGATCTGATCTTCTTAGCCGTTCGTCTCCCCTTCTAAAATCGGATAGAACTATTTTTCCCTCAAGAAAACCACTTCTCTCACAATTCTCTCAATCCACGAATCTCAGCCTCTCTCTCTGATTTCTCACCCCAAAAACGCGACCAAAATACTTCTGATCATGTTTTATACTCAACCCTAGGGTTTCACCTAACCAACCGCGCGAACCGGACAATTAAAATTGAACCAAACCGGTTCAATTGAACAATTTCCCCAAAATTGGTTCGCGGTCATTACATCAAGTCACTAGACTTATGCTCTTCTCCAAATCAGCAAAACAACACATTTGTTCACGTTTACTACATAAGTTGTCCACAATGACCAATCCACGTTTTCCACAAAACTTGTCGACACGAAGACATCCAAACATCATCAAGAATGGCCAGTTTCTCTTGTCCAAACATCAGCAAGAATCACTAGCTTATTTTGGATGACCATCCACAAATAGCCGTCCATCTWTGGCATCCACAAGCTAAAAAAGGTTTGTAAGAGACTTTTAAGCATGACCACTAGTAGCAAAAACCTTACACACAGCTCAAATAGTACAACCTTATGAAACATAACAACAATAATCAAAACACAAACCATAAGACCAGAAAAGTGAGAAGAACATTAATCTTAGATTTTCTAAATATGAAAAAAACACCTTCAACAAGATCACTACTAATTTAAACCTTAATTAAGTCTCAAATCGCAGAACCTCATCACATATAAAATTTTCAGAGAGTAACAACATATATTCCTAAAACTATGAAAGCAAGAAAAAACTACTAACAATTAAACCCATACAGTACAACACACAACCTTATATCCACACATAATCTATCACAAAATAAATTGTAGAAAAATTGAAGAAACTGAAAAAGTGAAGTTGAKGACAAGTTTTGTAGTGTCYATGAAACCGTGACCAGTTTATAGTATCCATACGGACACGAACTCGTGCAACAACTGAAAAGGTCACAAGTTCGTTCTGATTAACTGAAAGGTCAACACAAATTTGTTCATCAACCCTAACTACATAATCAAATTTAGAATCTACACAAGTTCATTCTTGAAAGAGAGAGGATCATGCCATACCAAACGACGATTTTTAAAATCCAAATTAATCTTTGAAAAGCTAGTTTCTTTGTATCTTCACCGATCTTCTTCTCATCTTTTCCGGAAGTCACCTTCTTCGCTCGGTTCGCGTTAGCGTCCCTTGAAGTCCCTTCACTTGGCCGTTTCGTACTTGATTTCACCGCCGGTAAAGCTAAAGTAATATAAGACAGGTTTTTCTTCTTCTTAGGATTTGTGGTTGCGACGTTGATGGCGATTGCTTTCCCAGATTCAGTAATAGGATTCTTCGAAGCTTGCTCGGTTTCAGATTCGAATTAGTCTCTGTCTCGGATCCAAAAACTGAATCGGACMTTTGCTTTATTGTGGTGGCAGAGATGGTGGGCTTGCCCGAAACGAAGATGATTTTATGGGGAGAAAATTTTCTAAGATTTGAAAAATCTAGAATTTTTACCAAATTAAAAAGGTCTCGACTAGATAAAAAAAAAGTCTAACTACAAAGAAACGAGATGTGGTTAACTTAAATAGGTTTCTACTTTTTAGTTACTAGAGGGTTATATTAGATATTTCATAAGTTTAAAGTACACTTGCTTTGTAAAATGCATTTAAATGAAAACACTTTCCACTAAAGTTCCTGTAATCATCCCAAAAAAAAATTGTTGTAAAATAATAACACGTTGAAATCAGATAAAAAGAGATCGACCACCAGCACCATGCGGCATAATCTGATTGCACCATGCATAGCGTGGAGTACACGTCCAACAACCCCGTTAAATGCGTGCCAAACGGTCCCACGGACAGAATAAATATATCCTGCGATGGCTCGCGCCATATCTATATGGAACCATAGAGTCTAGCTCA